ATTTTTGAAGCTTTGCAATTTGTTTTCTAAATCTCTCTCTTGTACTATGATTTGATAAATTTATGCCTTTTTCTTTACACTTCCTTTTGTTTTAGTATATGCTTTTTGTTGGGATTTGTATGATCTATTAGGAATATTGATGCTATTTCTGAAATTTAAATTTCACAATTAATTATTTTAACAATACGTATGATAGTAATTAGTAGTGATTACTGATTAGTAGTTAATTATGTTATTATGGGTAAAATTCATTTTGCGCCCCTAATACTATACGAAATGTATAATTTATCCCTGGTTTATTAGAAACATCAAACACCCCCTGTCGTTAGTTCTTTTCTTAATTCCGTTAGTCAAATCTTTCGACCAGGTGTCGCTAAGGTGATGTTTGCAAACACTTTTAGAAAGTGATTATAGGCTTTTTTTTGTTCATAATCTGTTTTCAAATGTTTGCAAAATCAACTTTTGTTTTTGCTTCTTTTAAAATAATCTGTTTTAAGCTATTTTTTTAAAAGCACTTCTTGTTGTTCCCGATACATAAAACGGGTAGTGATTTAGTAAAATGATCAAATAAATTAGTCGAAACACGAAAAGATTAGCCGAGGCGAGAAAACTCTTTCCTTAAGACGATTTTGCCCCGCTACAGAGCTTACGGTTATTTGACAATGGTCTCCCAAAATACAACGGCTAACTCGGCATATGAGCACTCAAAATCTCGAGTACAACGAACGTTACTTTGTGTCTCAAACTTTCGAATCGAATACGGAAGAAAATATTCTACGAAGAATATTTCCGGGCTAAAGAAAGATGAATTCCATAGAACAAAAATTATGGAATTGAATTTGTATTTTTATGTTGTTATTAAATCAAAAATGTGGAGTTTCTATTTATAAATTTCCAATGGTTGTGATTAATGAACACAACCCTTAGGAAATTAAACAAGTGAAGAGGTGTGGCCACACATCTTCATATTGTCACACCTATTTGATCAAATAGGTGCCTAAAATATTTTTTTTATTTTCATTCAAAAAATAATCTTATTTTATTAAATAAAATTCCCAACACTTCTAACCTTATTTTTTCTATTTAAGTTTATTTTCCGGATTATTTGCAAACACCCCCAAATTATATATTTTTAACCTTGTCAAAGGCTTTTTAGAAAGATCAACCTTGATTGCCATAAAACACTGGTTCCCCCTTTTCTTATGCAATAAGACATAATCTCCTGGGAGATGATATTATTATCGTTAATATTCCTTATAGGGATAGATGTCATCTGCAATGAGTTTTTAGATGATTTTATATGATACATTGCACATACTGATTGTTCTAAATTGGTCTACTCTAGAAGCTGTAGGGGATTTTGGAATGAGGGCTATGAATGTGTGATTAAGGGCTTTGAGTATTTGATAGTTGTCGAGTCGTAAGTCAAATGTCATCAAATACTTCGTACTCATATGAGGACGACTTTGTTCATAAGTCTATTAGAAAAACTTTGGATGACTTAAATGAATCGCCTGAGGTATTTCTAATGTGTTTCATAATTTTCTATGCACATATATAATTTTCAAACTTGAACTATATATTTTAATGTATTATCGTATTAAATTCTAGATTGGCACATGCATTGTATTGGCAACGATCACAAATTTGGTGAAAAAATCAAAGTGGTGGTTTTATAGCTACCCGAATACGAAGTGTAAGAAATCCGTTGAGAAGGATTTGAAGATGTGGTATTGTGTTCATTGTGATAAGAAATATCATTCGGCTAACCCCATGTACGTACTATTTATTTTTATTTATTTTATAATTAAAATCAATTTTTGTTTGTTAATTACTACTGACATTTAAATATATTAAATTAAAAATTTATGTAGTACAAGGATTTTAAAAATAGCTAACATTACAACTATTCCAAAATTGTTATAGATTACTATAATCGTGTTAATATATTGTACTATTGCTTATAGGTACAAAATTGAGTTCATTGTCATGGACGACACAAATACCGCAACATTGATAGTATTTGGAAAAGATGCAGAAATGATGTTGGGTCTTTTCTGTCGATGCATTAATTCAGCTAATACACGATAGGGTAAAAGTCAATAAACGTTCGTGATTTTTTTAATGTTCGTAGGTACATTTATTTAAACTTATTTTCCGTTACTAATTAGGGAGAAGATGATTTCGAATATCCAAAGGAACTTGATGCTCTGGTTGATAGAATGATGTTGTTCAAACTTAACGTTGTGGAAAAGAATGTACACGATTCAGCAAATTCAACATACCGTATTAAAAAAGTTTGTTTTGATGACTCTGTCATTACTGCGTTTACGGAACATTATAAATTGAATGAGGTATGTACATTTGATTAATTTGCATTATTACTTATTGTTTTTTTAATCACTATTTAATATATTTTTTTCTTTTATTTACGTAGAATCATAACAACGGTAGACATTCCCCAAGTGTAAATGATTATAATGTTGGTCCTATATCGTCAAAGGTAGATTAAACATGTTCTCATTCCATATTCAAAAGGGTCTAGAAAATCGATACGTAATCAATATGTTTATTAAAAACATTGTCTTTTATGCTAGGATTCCTCTTCATTGTCGGAGAATAATGATTGTGAAGTACTTTATGTTACTCCATCGTCAAAGCGACCGGGCGATAGTGTTCTCGAAAAGGTAGACGACGATCCAACACTGCAGCACTCAACCAGCAAATTGATAAAAAAAATTAAGCTAGAGAAAATGGAGTAGTTTCATTAGTCATACTTAATTTTTCTTTTTTTAGTTTTCATGTTTGATTTGTTATTTTAGTTTGAACAATATGTTTTTTTTCATTCCGTGCCATTTAAATTTGTTATTTTAGTTTGAACAATATGTTTTTTTTCCATTCCGAATATTGGAACGTTCTAAGTTCTAATGTTTTGCAAGTTGTGTTTTCATATATTGGATCATTTAGATTATACTATTTTTTTTATATATTTTACTTTCTCATAATAATGCATATAATTGCTATTGTCACATGTTTTTATACGTAACATTTTTTTAGTTTTTTGTTTAATTTGTTATGCACATAATAATGGTCTTTTTAAAAAAAAGATATTTTTTAGTTTTCTTTTCTTTTATTTTTCATAACTCATTTTACTTTTTAATTACTATAAGTTAAATATAATAATGTGTGCCATATAGTACTTAATTATATTACCCCTATTAAATATAGTAATTAAATAAAATACTAAATATATTAAAAAAAATTCCAAAATTATGTCACCCATAAGTTACTGCCAAAGTTATTCCAAAATTCAACATTATTCCAAAAATTATTAAATAATGTTGGAATTATGAATAAGTTTTTATGATATATACGTGTATATATATACACACATATTGAACTTATATAATCTAAAACTTTAGAATTACATATATATGACAGTCTGTGCATGGACGAAGCAGGTTCCGAGATTAATGCAGAAATTTATTCCACCGAATTTTTCAATACAATATCGTGCTTCGGTCTGCCGCCGCATAAGCTAAAATTAAAGAAAGGAGTTCCCGTCATGCTCATTAGGAATATCGATCAAGCAAGAGGTTTAATTAGTTGCAAAGTATTATCCGGTAAGAATGTTGGCGACATGGTATTTATTCCTCGGATGACTTTGATACCTTCGAATTCCACATTGCCAGTTAAATTTCAAAGACGTCAGTATCCGGTGATTATATCATTTGTCATGAAAATCAACAAAAGTCAATGGCAAACTCTCTCGCACGTTGGATTGTACCTTCCAAGGCCTGTTTTTAGTCACGGTCAATTGTACGCAGCGTTGTCTCGAGTGAAGAGTAGATCTGGAATAAAGATTTTAATCAATGGCGAATCCGGTGAGTTGTCCAGTGTTACTAGATAGCAACGTCGTGTACAAAGAAGTATTCGAAAGAATATAAAGGTACACATTGACAAACACATATATTGATTTTATTTATGTTTAACATTGTTTTTTTTTTCAATATATATATATATATATATATATAAAAGTATTCTTTATCTACGTAACGTCTTTAACTTATATATTGAAAATGTGCAAAAATAACAAGTTATTTGTCATCCTATCGTATATCTGATTGTAGTTTCATTGTCTCCTTTAACAACAATCAGATTCATGTGCAAGACTGATTCGATGCTTTGATTTCAGTATGAGAGTTACTTGCTACATTTTAACGTGGATGGTTCTTAGAATTTTGTCTGTTTATTCTATATGCAGATTTTTTATTGCTTGATAAGATACGAATTTTTATTTTTTTGTTCAGTTGTATTCTTAGCATTCTCGACATAATTTTTCTTCGTCAATTTTATACATTAACTCATTTTAATGTTTTTAATTAATCCCCGTGCATCGCACGGGTGAGTTACTAGTAATAATGAACATGACAATTGTCAGTTAATATTACAGTAACATAAGTAAGGTTGCCTTTAGTAGAGTACTAAACCACTCGGGCCACCCAGGTTCGAACCTCAAACTCCGATTTTTTTGTGATTATTTCACTTAAAATCCGGGTGGACCCAACGGTTACTCGGGTTAAGTCATCAGGTCCCCCGCCGGGTCTCGGGTCCAAAAAAACAGGACCCGAAACCGACCCATACTTCGTCGGGTCCGGGTCCAGGTCCACGGTCAACCGGTCAGGGCGGGCCAGTCTTTGGATCGAGTCCGGGCCCGGGTTAAACCCAGCCCATGGCCGTATCTAATCCAACCCGTGTTTGCAACAGATGTTTGCCAATTATCGGCAAATAATGATTTAGATATATATTAGTAGAAGTCAATTAGTCGGGTCAGCTCGATAATTAAGCTACCCAACCCATGAACAACCCTATGCAAGATTGCGTGAATGTTAACACAACTTGAAAGTTCTGGGCAATAAGAAATCTTCCGGACCTTGAGGATCAAAGAAAACGAACCCTCGTATTTTTTTAAAAGAAATCGAACCCTCGTCGGTAAATAATTTAAAATCAAGCAAAAAAAGTTCATCTGGCTAACCACAAGTGCAGTATTTCTAGTAACCATTACATATGTTACAAGTTAACCTTCTTCAACATTTGCTTAAAACAGAAAACAAAACAAAAATTAAAATTAAAAAAAGAAAAAATAATATTTTTGTGAACTAGAAAAACAGTTTCATGCTCTTACAAGATTCATTGTATTGAGTTTATAATAATCGACAAAATTTAGCCAAAAATTTGGGTCGATACCCGAATTTGCATTGTTCGGATCCAACTTTTCACATGAGCTTAATCTTCTTGCCAATCCTGAAATATATAGTAACACTCAATAATCATTCTTAAAAAAAATGAATGAACTATAAAGTCTTAATCACCATAAATGAATGAACATAGGGGCGTACCTTTATAATCACTGCACAACTGATATTCCAGAAGAAATGCAAAGTTTCGAGTCGGCACCACCACTAACCACGCTATCCTCCCTCCACCAATCAGCACACAACACCTACAATTGACATCATATATATATTATTATTTCTCGAAACTAGTAAATTCACACGAAAACTCGAATGTGGATGCATCATCATAGGGTTGGGAGAAAATTTTACCTTGTCCTTGTGTGTGTCTATTACAGCCAACGGCAACTGCGTATGATAATGATAGATGATTCAGAGATCAAAGATTGAAACATATTCATCACTTACAAACAACTTACGATAGAACTGAAGTAAACTACATACCGCGGTTCTTATATCCCATAGCATCACTTTTCCATCATACGATGACGACACCAAGTGAAACCACGATTTGGGGTGCCATTTACAAGACGATATCCAAGAATTGTGCGACGAGAAATGGTATATAGGAGACAAAGTTCCTGACATCAAAATTCACATGACACGTATTGGTCATATATATGTAGATATAGATAATTATATGCGTATATATGTATGTGTGTGTGTGTGTGTGTGTGTATATATATATATATATATATATATACCTGGCCTGCGAGGATCCCATATTCGAAGAACAGGGTCAGAACCACCAGCGGCAATAAGGGCAGAACTTTCACCGCCAATATCAAGACAGTTGATAACCTTGCCACAGGACTAAGTGAAAGAGAAAAGGCAGTTATCGTAAGCAATACGTACGGAAACGAAGCTCCATTTGATCCATATATAACAAGTATAGCAAAAACAAACATTAATCACGGATGAACATGTTGTTTGAAGGCGAACGACTTTATTTTCATTCTAAAGGTGTAAAGTAGTGGGAGAGAGAGTAAAAAACTTCACTCACCATACTTAGAGAATCTTTGCCTGTCTCGACATCCCATCTCCTGATAGAATGATCCCAAGATGCTGAATAGATTGTTTCTCGTTGAGGCCACATTACAGAAGATACGCACTGTGTGTGCCCCACTAGTGCTGTTAAAGCTTCTCCCTGTACACCAATACGACAACTATATAACATATGCATAAACGATATAAAAGGTCATAATTCAATTTATTTATTCCATGAAAACAGACCACATTCATAACTTCCGGAGATCATCGTATATCAAACTCGTTAAATTCAACTATAACCTAGTTTTGATTTGCATCAAGCTATTAATAGATCACGATATTCTACCACAACGATAAACCACTAGAAAACAAGTATATATATATATATATATATATATATATATATATATATATATATATATATAATGGTACCTCAGACTGAGGCTCCTTCATTTACGACCCTTTTTCCTCTTCTTCAATGATACAGAACCACTGTCAGTGTCAGAAGCATTTGTGTTCCACAAGTTGATAGCACCATCCCACGAACCAGAACATACCTAACAATAATAAGAATAGCATTACAAAAATAAAAAATAAAATCTTTCAAATTAATTTAAAAGCATCAAGCAAAAAGTAAATACCATATCAGTCGAAGGTTCAGCTGCAATGGTCTGAACAGCAGCATTATGACCACGCAATATCTTAAATGCTGTAATCTTCTTTGATTGGTCTAGCGTCTCCTCTACACCAAACTTTTCAGCAAATAATAGAATCAGGTAATATACTTTCAAATACAAATTATACTCGTCTAGTGCATAAAAAAGCAATATCGTGAAGCAAACTTCCGGCATGTACCTTCCACAACCTTATAGTCCTGTCTTTAGAAGCAGTAGCAACAATTTGATCTATACCACTCTCAGCTGTTACGAAAAAAAGCTTCGTCAATAGTCATACAAAGAAAGCATATTGTTAGACTTAAACAGCTAACAATATTAAGTGCGTGAAATTATTATTTTTTTCTTCTAAACTTTATCTTGAAAAAGAATTCATGAATATGTCTAATAATACATTTAGTCAAAAGTTTTTCGAATGCGTGATATTTTCAGAAGCAATACAAGCGTGTACCCTAGAAACGGTCACAAATATTCATACAAAGTGTATAAAGGATAACTCTTTGCACCTTTTGGGGTCAATGTACAAACAGAAGTAATCGGGCCAGAATGCCCATCTAATACATGGGTACAAATCCCTGCACCTCTCCATATTCTAAGAAGCAAAAAAAAAAAAAAAAAAAAAAACCCGGAATCAGATAAGTTCAGCATAGATAAGCAAAACAAAAGGTAAAAGGAGATGTCGTTGAAAATTTTATGGAGTTACCTGGCGAAACCGTCATAACATCCCGTAAGAATATACCTGTCAAATAATATAAGAAGCTCAGATTTGCTTAACCAATGTGACAACATTGCATCAAAGTTAAAAAAATGCAGATTGAAATACATACCCGTTATTGGAACCATCGACTGCACTAACCCAGTCATCGTGTAAAGAAGGTTCTTCTTCTTTCCTTGGAGCAATGGCTTTAATATATTCAATTTCAAGTGTTTTTTCCTGTAATAATTCATCAATCATCGGTAAGTATAGAGAACTCTAACAATCGCTTACGGAGAAGATTACAAATTATCTATCACATTTACCACAGTTATCTAGCCGTATTTGCTCGTAACTTGAACATATAAACAGGCCGTAAAACGGAAAGCACAAAGTACTGCAGTATTAGTTAGGGCAAAAGTGCTTACAGCAGAAATGCCTTTGACAAGAAGAAATTCTTGAAGCGGCATCCGAACAAGCTCCCCATCGATGAGAAAATCGAAAGGCTCCGATTGCCAATCACCATTTACTGATAGATTAAATCAAAAATCAAGACCAATATGAAAAAAATCAATATCGTGTTACCCAATCCAATTGGAAAAAAAGGACTCAGTCAGAACTCAGTCCACTAACTAAATTTCTCTGAATTTCAGCAATAAATAACCAAAAAAATTAAAAATAAAAATAAAAATAAGAACAGAGGAGATTAAAAATACCGGCTAAGAGGAGATTGTTGACGATAGTAGAAAGGCCGCGTCGAGTGAGCTTGGCGGGAATGGAAATGGAAGACTGCGGCGTTTTATACGGCGGTTTTAGCTTCGTCACGAAGCGGACTTGCACTTGCCTCGTGAACTCCTCCGCCGCCGCTCCGTCGCCGCCGTCAACATCCATTTTCCAGCTGCTTGTGTGTGGGTGGCGCGGGGAATTGGTGGAGGAAGAGCGTCTAGGGTTTTAGAATTGGTGGGGTTTTAAGGTTTTCTCTTTCCAATACGGTAGTCGTTGTCTGCAAACAGCGATTTAGTGTTCAGCATACCAAAATTATTCATAACATTAAATAATTAAATTAAATAAAAAAAAAAAAGTAATTTTTAAAATATTTTTATTCCCAATCTTATAATAATAATTTTTCAAAATTACAACACAACCAACCAATAATCTCTATTAATTAAAAGATTGACATTTATTTTTCAGACAACGAAGTCAAATAGGCCAACAGAATTCCCAAAGACAATAATATCAAAAGAATTTCAAATACATACATAGGAAAAATAAAAATAAAAAATATTTAATTTGTCAACAAATAGTTCTACAGCAGTAGATTTATGTTCCTCGTTTCCTTGGTACATTTCTACACAACATGTTTGTTTTTGCTCGAAATATTGTCAACAAAGTACGAAATCGGAAGAATTTCTTCAGAACTAGCATCTTGAGCAAATTCAGCAATTAATCTAGCAATCAAGTACGGCTTCTCGATGTGCGGCATATGACCGCATTCCGGAACTTTCCGCACACTTGCGTTTGGTAGTTCGTTTTTCAGTCTCTGCATTTGATTTTTTTTTTTAATGAAGAAAACAAAATTACCGTAAGGGAAAAAGGAAATAAAAAAGAAGCTAATGATTGATCAAATAATCGAGAAACTCCTGTGCTTTATCCATTCCTATAATTTTAAGAACTCGGATAATTAAATAATCGAGCTTTATTTGATGTTCGAATAGTAACTTTTTGGCCGGTTCAGAATCATTGAGAAAAACGAGCAATAGTGTTAACTTATTGGGTAATTTGTAGATTCGACTCCTAATGTTTTTTTTTTGAACCCTTCGATCCTTGTCAACCAAACGAGGCCCAAGAATCGAACACAATAAAATAAATTAGCCGTGAATTTTTTTTAGTTCTGGAAATGACTGACCTCCGCGAACTTACTGTCGACTATATTATCGCATTCGCTGGAGATGAGGAGTGTTTTTTGCTTCACCTGTGTCATAAAAACGCGTGTCATTCGATAGTAGCAACAAAGTAAAATTAAAAAAGAAAAAAGTCCATTTCCCTACTTGTTTTTATTAATAAAACCGTCTTTCAACTAACGAGGTACTCGTTTTTTTCCTACTGAAATATCATATCAGTAATCTTGATTTATTAGATGACTTAAAGAGTAAAGAAATGAAAATTATAAACTACGACGATAAGTCTTCTTCTATCATATCCTTAAGGGACTGAAGCTAACATGCACCGGTTACGGTTATAGCAAGCTAACATATGCCGTGGCAGGTGATTTTTTTTTTTTTTTCTGAGATACCTTTTTAATTTGGCCGGTGACATTATAACCGCCACTCTGCATAAAATTTACGGTAGCATCTTCCCACCACGGCATGAGGCAGTGAAGTCGCCCCACCTGATTGGTTCACAAAAGCTGCATTAATTAAGACTTAATCGGGTGATAATAAAATATGTTTTTAATTATAATTAAAACTATTAAGCAACGATAAAAAACTCACGTCGGTATAGTCTAGCATCTTAGACAATGATATGCCGTTGAAAACCAGTAGCTTTGCGTACCATCGGATCGGTATACTCTTCAGCACGGAGGCCTAATCAACATTTTTAAATATTTTATTTTATTTTATTTTGTCGATAATTCAACTCAAGAAACTAACACAGACGAAAATGGATATTGGTTTATATATTACCATTGCGTAAGCCATTAGTGTTGGTAATTTTGTAAGAACTCCAGTGCCGTTTGCGTAAACATTTGCGTTAATTAAAATCAGCTTATCAACCTGTAAAATATTTCAGAGTAGTAAAATTCGAGCAAATGCGATAAACGAAGAAACAAAAAAATCGATGAAGTACGTAAAATTATAAAATAAATCCGAGAGATTCGACGGGGAAAAAACTCTTACAGCTTCGGGAAAATTGACAGCAAAATCTATTGCAGCTGCAGCACCAAGGCTTGGTCCGACTAATATCATCGGTCTTTTAATGTGAGACTTCCATAACTATCACAAATTTATAAATAAATAAAAATTCGAAAAAAAATCAATAGTTCAATACTGCGATACGACCACTAATTACAAATTAGAAAAAACTACCTGGTAAAGGTGGTATCTTTTCGATGCTACGTTACAGGGTGGACGTCTTTCTAGAAATAAAATCAAGAATTAAAAACAAACACACACACACAAAAATATGATAAGAGTAAAGAGTAAATCGGGATGGAAAAAAATAATATTTTAATTATGTATTTAAGGCTAGAAAACGAACCTAAGTCGGAGAAACCCCAGCCGAGAATATCGACAGCCCAAGCCTCCAAACCGGCATCTTCCAACAAAGGATACGCACTTCTCCATTCTAAACAAGAGCTAAAAGACGAAACGAAATTCATCAAAATTAAATAATTAGGAAACGATACTATACAATTAAAAAAAAAATAGTGTTAAAGATTCTTGATTGGATTTTACAAAAAAACCTGTCAAAGCAATGTAGCAGAACCACCGGATTCGAATCACGACGAACTTTGGGTGTGACACAGCTACTCATTATTGAACTCTCGGAAAATCCAACCTGCACTAATTCTCATTAATATATCTCCTAAGATCTCATAATGATTATTAATTTAATGAAACTAATAATTGAGATCCCAACTGATTTCAATCCAATCTAAAACCCGAAAACCGACTCGAATTGGCTTGCACGTGACAGATTTTCGATCGGGAAATAACATTAGTACCAATTTCTAAATCTATGGTGCAAAATTCCAATGTTTGAAGATTGAATCTATAGAACAGAAAATATTTCCCAAATTAACCTCCGGATCATGTAATTAAAATTTAAGCTAACACGATCCCCGGCATCGAAAACACCTAATTTGTACATGCAGTGCTCTGCTACTCATGTACATGCAATCAGAGCAAATACATTTGCACACAAAAAAAATCAAAATGTATATATTTATTTATTTTTAATTATTAATTTTTAATTTTTACCTTTACAGGGAGTCGTTGAATTCTCTGAGCCAAAGTTCTAGCAGAGGGGTCTCTGATTTTGTAAACTTCCTTGGGAAGAAAAGATGGAAACGATCCGCCGGGATCCACACAGCCGCCGCCGCCGGAAACTCGATCGGAAACTGTGGAGTTGATCGGACGAGATTGGTAAAGAGGAAACCCCAATGCGAGAGCTACCACCATTTTTGGCAAAATCCACCTCGGTTGACGAGTGACGACTCCCCTTTGTGTGTAACGCCTGTTTACAAAATACTGAAATAGTAACCACTTGTCGACAAATAAATATATATATATATATTTTTTCAAGTGCCAAATTTAAAAAAGGGGAAATTACAATCTAACCCCTATGTTTTGTTTTGTAATTATATTTTAGTAATATTTTGGTTGGGGTTTTGTATCTATTTTAAATGCATGTCGTAAATAGAACATAAATGCCTTTTTTTGGTTGTTGTTTCACATTGTTTACTAAATAAGGTGATGTAATTTAGCACATTTATTTTAATGTTTGGAAAATTTGACAAACTCCCCTCGTTAGACATGTGGAATTAAGATGTGTTTCCCAATTCTAAAGTAAAACTAATTTTTCTTTTTCTTATTAATAAAGTTTTAGTATTATAACCCCCATCTTAATGTATTGAATGAAATCTTATCGTGGGAAATTGATATTTTCTCCACAATTAAATTCTCACGTTCTTACATTAGCAAAGATATCAATTTCACAAATCTCGATCCTAAATTTTAGACGTACCGTCTCGTGAAAGTGTGTGTTTGAATTTTAAAAACAACTCCAGTTAATGTGATCTGAGTGGCAAATGCAGCGTACTGATTCTATATAGTGGTTTTCACTGATTCTACATAGTGATTTTCGCAAATTATCGTACAGATTTCCAATGTACGACCAAATAACTCACACACCAATGTGGTATCGATGATGGTTATCCAAAGTACAACATTGGGTACTCGTAATTTACCCAATGTTTGTTTGTTTAATAAAAAATAATTTACCCAATTAAAAAAAAAAAACCGGCATGTATTTTTTTTTTTTTCTTTTTATAGAAGGGAGATTAATGAAGCTTTGAAACTGAAGCACAGTAAATATTCGAAATTAATGTATATATAGTATAGCCTATGGATTCAACAAGTCAGAAGAGAGTTCAAACGGTGAACGGTGGCGTTGCCATCTGTTCTTGAAGATCGATCCTAAGCAGATACCTCAATATTTATTCTCATCACTTTTTTTTTTTCAACCGACAATGGAATCTTTACTACATTTTTTATTCGATTTTATTTTTATCACAAAATTCCTTTTGTTTCTTCCTCCCGGAATCGAAGCAGGTAAGAATCACCAACGATCAGTTCTTGATAAACTTGAAATTATTTACTTTCTAGATATTTCATTCTTTCACTCCATGCAAATGGGATTTTTTTTTCTCTTGCTCGTGAATTTTTCTGAACAAAGTAAAAAACTTGTGCTAAATTAAGTAAAATGACAAACAAACACCGCGCGCAGCAGCGCACACCAGGTGTTTGTCTTTTTGCCTGTGTGAAAATTTTCAAGTCTGCATGACTTTCTTGACTCATTTTTTTTTTCCTTCCTAATATCTTGCAACATTATCCAGGCAATTTTTTTCTAGTGAGAGAAACTGCTGAAAAGGGCTGAACAAAAAAAAAAAAAAAAAAAAAAAGGATGTATCTAGTTGAGAGTAAAGGAGGAGCCATAGGGTGCATGCTGATTGCACTTGTGTTTCTAGGCACATGGCCTGCAATTCTTGCTTATTTGGAGCGGCGCGGTCGTCTTCCGCAGCATACTTACCTCGATTATTCAATCACGAATTTATTGACTGCCGTTGTTATAGCGTTAACAGTTGGTCAGATTGGTCGCGACAAACCCGATATCCCGAATTTCATCACACAGCTTCTCAGGTTATGGATCTATATAGCTTCACTTGTTGTTAGTCTATAGTTTATTTTGGTAGTAACTTCTTTTCAAGAATGTTTAGTGGTGATCTTTGCTATGTCAGATTAAGGTTTTCGGTAAATTACAACCACCCCTAAGATATAGTCAAATTACGAAAATACCCTTATGTTTAGATAATTACAACTACCCTCAGTTATGAATCTTCTTACACGTTCACCCTTATGGTGTCAAATTCAACATAATCTTCTAGAATGTTCTCTAGTTTGTACTCGTTTTATGCAAAAATGCAGTGTCTAATGCACTACAATCTGCACTACAATCTGATATTTACAAGCCGAAAAATACATCTTAAGATCATCTTACTTCAAAATGTGGAGCTCGAATGGGAAAAAACAGGTACAAAATTTAAAATATTTCGTATAATCTAGAAGATTCCACTAAATTTGACACAACAAGGGTGGACGCAAGGGTGGACGTGTAAGAAGATTTATAGTCGATGGGTGGTTGTAATTACTCAAACATGAAGGATATTTTCGTAATTCGATCTTACCTCAGCGATGGTTGTAAACTTGTAATTTACCCCAAGGATTTTAGTGTTTTAATATGCTTCGTAAGGAAATCAAGAACCGACGAAATCGATTTTCTTGATGTTCGAAAACGTAAGTTTCTCTCACCGATTATGATATAATTGCAGGATAATTGGCCTTGCATATTGATTGCCATGGCCGGAGGAGTATTTCTGAGCCTAGGGAATTTGTCGACACAATACGCTTGGGCCTTCGTTGGCCTTTCTGTTACCGAGGTTATCACGTCGAGCATAGCTGTGGTTTTAGGTACAATCCATGTTTTTTTTTTTGTTTGCTTTTTCCAATATCGAATACTTTTTTATGCTGTTATATTTGGTGACGATATATCGAATCAACATGCGACAGGGACAACGTTAAATTATTTTCTCGACGATCGAATAAACAGGGCCGAAATACTCTTTCCTGGAGTCGGATGTTTCCTCGTAGCAGTTTGCCTCGGTTCTGCGGTTCATTCTTCCAATGCAGCTGATAACGAAAAAAAACTCGTCCGCTTGTCTAATTCAAGAGAAACTATTTCGTATCAAGGTATATATTATCCTCGGCCTTTTCAACTTACTAAAACAAGTTAAAAATTTGGGCAAATTACGGCTACCCTGAGTTATGGCTAAATTACGAAAAAACCCTCTTGTTTGGGTAATTACAGCCACCCCTCCTTTTAAATATTTTTACATAAAATTTATGTAGTTCGGTTATTTACCGAACCAAATCGTATATTCAGTTCGGTAAACAATATGAAATGTTGGCGTACTGAAATTTCGGTTCGTGTTACCGATTTAACACCCCTAAAAAGGGGTATTTTCGTAAGATAATGCATAGTTGAGGGGTGGCTGTAATTGTTTGAAATTATCCAAACAGGAGTGGTTTTTTCGTAAATTGACCATGACTTATGGGTGGCCGTAATTTGCCATAAAGTTTATGCACTAAAAATTCTCTACAAATAGATGAATCGAAGGATCTTGAAAATGGGACACACAAAGAGGAGAAAGCCAAAGTTGGATCCGCCCACCATCTCATCGAGCTCGAGAACAAGAGAGCCATTAAGGTTAACACTTCTCGTTTTCTTCTTTTCTTAACGAATATTCCGTCTTTCAACACGAGTTCTAAAATTGCAAGAAACTATATTTATATACGACATGTTTTTTGAGCAGGTTTTCGGGAAGAGTATATGGTTAGGCTTGAGCATAACCTTCTTCGCGGGTGTATGTTACTCTCTGTTTTCCCCTACGTTTAATTTGGCCACCAATAACCAATGGCATATGATGAAAAGGGGCACGCCTAATTTAGTTGTCTACGCAGCTTTCTTCTATTTTTCGTTGTCCTTCTTCGTAATTGCGGTCATCCTAAATGTTTGGTTCTTGTACCGTCCTGTACTAAATTTACCGAAGTCGTCCCTAACATCGTACCTTAAAGATTGGAAAGGAAGAAATTGGGCTTTTCTGGCCGGTGTACTATGTGGGCTCGGCAATGGCCTCCAATTCATGGGCGGCCAAGCCGCCGGCTATGCGGCAGCTGACTGTGTTCAGGTCAGTCAACACATGTATATATATATGTGTGTGCGTGTATATAATATATATCTATATATTGACACTCCCTTGACCCTTCCTTATAATAGGGGCTTTTTGCAATTAGTTCGATTTTCTTTTTTTATCTTATGCAACTAAATAGACACATTTACGTTTTATACAAATCGGATAATTGGGGTTATATGTGTGTGTGTGTGTTTTGAAACTCCCTCCCTTATAATAGGGGTTTTTTTGCAATTAGTTCGCTTTTTTTTTTAATCTTACGCAACTAAATATACACATTTACGTTTTATGCAAATCGGATAATTGGGGTTGTGTGTGTGTGTGTGTGTGTTTTGACACTCCCTCCCTTATAATAGGGTTTTTTTTTGCAATTAGTTCGATTTTTTTTTTTTATCTTATGCAACTAAATAGACACATTTACGTTTTATGCAAATCGGATAATTGGGGTTATGTGTGTGTGTGTGTGTGTGTGTATTTTGACACTCCCTCCCTTATAATAGAGATATTTTTTGCAATTAGTTCGAACCTTTTTTTTATCTTACGCAACTAAATATACACATTTACGTTTTATGCAAATCGGATAATATATTGGGGTTATGTGTGTGTGTGTGTGTGTGTGTGTGTGTGTGTGTGTGTGTGTGTTTTGACACTCCCTCCCTTATAATAGGGTTTTTTTTTGCAATTAGTTCGATTTTTTTTTTTATATAATCTTACGCAACTAAATAGACACATTTACGTTTTATGCAAATCGGATAATCGGGTTATTTTGTGCTTTAAAAAAAAAAAAACAGGCTCTCCCACTAGTGAGCACGTTTTGGGGCGTACTATGTTTCGGGGAGTATTGGAGGTCGTCTAAGAGGACTTACGTTTTATTAGTGAGCATGTTGTTCATGTTCATTGTTGCTGTGGCAGTGCTTATTGCTTCGTCCGGGCATCGCAAAGTTTATAGCCGTTGATTTACATACGAAGTCGTGTTTAACTACACTATATATACATACAAGTTGGTGCAAGTATTTTGTGGTATACGATGTTTAAATCGTGTTTTTACAATGCGAAGATTAGAGTTCCGTAACAAGAGCCTCGTTTTAATTTTAATAATGCAGAGATTTTGAGCTTCATATTACATGTATATGATACTGAAATTTTCGATTTTGTTTATGAATGCATTATTCACTTGTTTTTGTTCTGATCCCGACACTCGTCAAATGTGCAACCTTAATTTTCAATGTTAAAATTCGAATATGGTTTATAATTTCAATTTTTAATCTAAATTCAGATTAATCCTTTGAACAATTTATAATGTAAAAAAATTAACTTTGTTCAAAAAAAAAATGTAAAAAAATTAACAAAACAAAACAATATATTAGAATATATAAGCCAAGGGTAAAAGGGTAAAAACACAAACTTCCCGCGTAATTACAATACAAGACAGCTCATTTTGTTCCCATGCAGTTGGCTAGAAATCAGAACTGATCCATAATGCCCGAAATGGACGCTTTGCCCTACTTCCAAACATTAAAAATTTTCTTACAAGAAATTAAGTAAACCCTAAATTCATCTCCCTTTGATCTTTTCTTCCCTAATTTTCTTTGCAATTTCTTTTTTTTTATATTTATATTTGGAAATCATTGAAAATTTTGGGAGATTTCTCGACGTTTATTACGTACACAGTTCCCCTGTGGTTTTTCTTCAAAGGTTTTGCCTAGCATTATTAGACAGACGAAAGAGAAACATCACATGGGATACGGTATTATTCGTTCTTTGCAATTCAATTTTTTAGGTATGTTTTCACATTTTCGATTTTTCTTTTACATAACAATTGCATTCAGGTCTTAGGCATTTCATTCTATTTTTTTGGGAATTCAAAAGAAGACCCCATCATAATTGGATGATTTTTCTGGTTATTATCGAGGAAAAAACAATTAACGCCGTTTAATTTGGTAGTTTATTACGTTTCTTGAAGGGTTTTAATTGCATGATTTTTTTTTTAGTTGCTGTTATGATCAATGATTTTTTACCGATATTTTATATAGAGAATTTGCTAAAATTTACCCAGAATACCTTAAAGTGTTTCAAAATGTCTTGATGCAATTTGAAAAAAAAAATCTGAAATTGAGACTTTGTTTTTTGTTTTCTTGAATTAGTTATTTAAAGAAAAAACAATATGTACTTCTCTAATTTAAAAGTATTGAAACTCAATTTCAATTCATTTCAATTGTGCAGTGTTACAATAATCAGCAAATTTCGGACACATCACACAACAAATATAATCTCAAAGATCGAATTCGACTTCGAGAAAAATCAGATGATTAGCAATGGAACAAGAAAATGTCAAAGGCAAAAACAATAATCAAGACGGAGTACCCCTTCTAGAAGGAAAAAACTCGGTAGACGACGCTTCTTCTTCGTCTTCTTCTCCTTCCACTTCCTCAATCCAAGATCACAACTCCTCCGAAAAACCCCAATTAGTAACCGACGATGAAAATGAAAAAAATACCAATACGCCCCTCGCTTCGGAAAATGCAAACTCGGAAGCTATGATGAAATCCCCACCGGCCCAAATGATGGGCGGGCCTTTACCCGAACCGCCCGGTTACGACCCTAACCGAATACCCGCTTCGGTTTTCGCCAAATCGAACACCGCTGGTGAGTGGAGCGTGGCATCGAACGAGTCTTTATTTAGTATTCACATGGGGAACAATAGTTTCTCGCGTGACTATGCTATTTTATTCGGAAAATCCGGAGAGTTCCCGAGGCCCGAAGATTGGCCCGGCCCGCAATCTAACCCATTCGGAAAGTCCGGTGAACTCCCTAGACTCGAAGACTGGAATAATAATAATATTAATAATAATGATCAAGTGGTGATGATCAATAATAATAGCCTTCCACCGGTTATGGAAGTTCCGGCGCACGAAGAGAATAGCATGCAATCGGGAGAACTTTCTAGAAGCGATAAGAAGGAAGAAGAGGAGAAGAGCCCAACTGTAGAGAATCATGAAAAGCCTACAGTTCCTACAGTTTCACCTGAAGTTGCTAAGAAAGAGCCTATTGCCGAGAGTCCTAAAACTTCTTCACCAAGTAACACTCTTCCGCCGTATTCGAGCCCGCCTCGATTCTCTAGCGGCAGCGGACATAGCGGCAGCTCCTTCGCATTCCCCGTGTAAGATATATATATATATTCAAACCTCTATTAATTAATACAGTCGGGACCAATAAAATTATATTAATTTATAGAAATATTAAATTGTTAACTAATAATTTAATATGTTTTTTTTATCGGATCATGACTGAGAAAAATTATTATTTAAGTGAGGTTATTAATTTATCGAAGTTGTACTGTATATATAGTATTTTGACATTTTTAAGGTTTTTTATTTTATTATAAATGGCAGGTTAGTGAGTGAATCGGGAAAGACGGCGGGTTCGTTGAAGGTGGTACCGGAGAAAGAAGAGGTGTTATTACCGGAGGGGAAAGAAGAAGTATCTAAAGAGAATATTCCGGCGGATGCAGGTGCGACGGAGACAAAATCGTGGTTTCCTTGCTTCGCTTGTTGGCCACGGTGCTGTTAAGAATGTCGTCGCGCAATTAATTAATTAATTAATGATATGGTCCTAATTAAGATGAAATTTGTATATCATCAAGTAGTTAATTTTTAAACTGTCTGCAAATTAATTGAAACCCTAGCTACTTCATGATGGTATATATATATAGGAGAAAGCAAAAGGAAAAGAGTCCATTGTAAGAAGTTTCTTGGTTCATTTGTAAAAGTAAATACAGTGATGCTTTCAAGCTGATTATATAGTACTATTTTGTGCACATTGTGATTAATTAACGGACAAATTACGACCACCACTGAGTTATGGTCAAATTACGAAAACCTCCTTCTTGTTGGGTAATTATAGTCACCCATTTAACTATGTATTATTTAACGAAAAGACCTCTTCAGAGGTAAATTTAGGGATGTTACATTTCATACAATTTGGTTCGGTAAATAATCAAATTACATAAATTTTATGTAGAAATATTTAAAAGGAGGGGTGGCTGTAATTACCCAAACAAGAGGGTTTTTTTTTTCTCCATAATTTGGCATACCTCAGGGGTGGCCGTAATTTGCTCATAATTAATTAATTGATTGAATTATCCTCATTCTTTAAGCAACTTTTTGTGAATATTAATCTTGATTTTCCTTTGGAATTATTTAGAAGAATCTATGCAAATGGACTTTAATTTTCAACTTATTTTTGTAAATGCTATAAGGCCAGATTTACGATGCGCGGAAACTTCTACAAACACGCGTTTTCACGTTTCGGAACATTTTGGGAACTTTTCCAGGCCGCTTCTGTAAATATAAAAAAATATGGGGAGGTTTGTGGTAATAATGAAAAATTGGAAAGGCATTTCCACCCAAAAAAATCTGAAACCCTGCTCGTTCTAAATGAAGACTGGGAATTGCATACGCTTAAAAAAAAACTTATACCACTTTTTCACTTTTAATGTTGTTTTAATATTTTTTGTAGATACTAATTGCATACTAAAATAAATTTATATTCCTCAAATATATAATTGATAAGTTATAAGTTAAACTTTATAAATTATGAATATACCTCTATATTTATAATATTTACACGTTTCACCCTCATTCCCGTATTCAACTTTCTATGTGTCCGTTTCACCGTGTTCATGCTACATTGGGTCAGGCCAATGGCCCAACGACAATGCCACGTGTCAACTTCAAGATTAAAATAATTTAGGGCCGCAATCAAAATCAAAAATAAAGAAACTAATTAATTTAGTGGGCCCAACATTGGGCCGTCTCTCTCTAAAGCACAAAAGTCTTTTATGGGCCCCCCACTATTAACATCTTAAAAAAAAAGAAATAGATAAATCCAAATCCAGAAAAAAATTAATAAATCTACAAATGCAATTAACAATAATGCAGGAAAATGGCAAATAAATAATAAAAATAAATAAGTTATTACATGTGATCATGTCTTCATGGGATTTCGATTCATCAGATCTTAATTGTAATTAGTCAAACAAGAACTAAGATCTTCATTGATATATGATGCTTTATTTAGGTAGGTATATTAATCATGTAATTAGAATAATATTAATATATTATTATCATCTCACAAATAGTGATGACTCACTTATTCCTTGATTAATATATTAAAGGTACTGCTTGCACAATAAATTATTTTTTAAAATATTATATATTTGGAATTCACTTAAACAATATTAAAAAAGATTTAAGTTGAACTAAAAACCAAAGTAATCTTAGAAAGATATTTTGAATTTTAAACGGGTGTTTGCAATTTTTACATGTTTGAGGGAGGGAATATACTTTTGGAATTGTCTAGGGTTTGAAATTTTAATAATTTTATATTCACTAGTAATTGTACCCGTGCGATGCACGCGACAACAAATTGCATTGTTTTGATGTTGTAAGAATATAAACAAACGTTTGATGTATCGTATGATCAAAATTCTTTTATAATCATTCATTAATAATTCATCAGTGGAACATTATTAAGTATACTACACACACAAAAAAAAAAAAAATAACTTTGCTGTTGAATAATTTTCCAAATGAATTGAATCAGCTAATACCAGTAGATTGAAAATTTGAACCAGGAAAAAAATCATCAACTATGTCTTTCATGTTGAACTTAAAAGTAATTAGATTCAATAACTTAGTTAACATAATCAAAACTAAACTATCGACAACATACCATCGTAAAAGACCATCTATACATCTTGCATCGGAACTAAGCCCTTCTCCACTGCCTCATTTTAAGGCTGTTTTGCCACTGGAATTAACAATTGGAAAATTAAGAAACAAAAATAAATATAAACTATAAATTAAATATCGCATACAAACAATAAGTCTTGAATGTCGACTTCCAATAGCTTGTGGCTCCGCCCATTTTTGGTTAATTCTCTCAAATCATCCCTTTCAATAACATGTCCAATAACATATAAAATGAAATAATTGTTATACATAAAATTTAAAATCTTTGGTATAAATTAATGAAACACATAATTTAACAAAATGAAATTACCTATAAGCCATGATGGAAAAAGATGTAAACTAATTACCACACACTCAATAGGATGAAGAAGAAGATAAGAAACAAAATCTTAAGTCGGGTTACCAAAAAAAGAAGCCTTAGGTAGGGAAGAAATAAAATTCAAATGTTGCAGACATTCTGTAAAACGATGTCTCAAAATCCGCTAGGTATGAAAATCAGATTTAAAAATCTGATAAAAATCGAAAATAAAATTTAAAATGATAGTTAGGAGATAAAAATTTGATAAAAATAAAAAATAATATTTAAAATAATGTTAATGAGATTAAAGTTGTTAAAATGATAGTTAGGAGATAAAAATTTGATAAAAATCAAAAATAATATTTAAAATAATGTTAATGAGATTAAAGTTGATAAAATACGAAAATAATAATTAGAATAATATTTAGGAGATAAAATATGATTAAAATCAAAATTATTATTTAAAATAATATTTAGGAGATAAAAATCGAAATTAATATTTAGGAGACAAAAATCAGATAAAAATTGAAAATAATATTGAGGAGATAAAAAACTAATAAAAACATGATAAAACTCGAAAAAATATTTATAATATTATTTAGGAGATATAAATTTGATAAAATTCGAAAATAATATGTAGGAGATAAAAATCTGCTAAAAGTTGAAAATTATATTTAAAATTATATTTAGGAGATATAAATTTGATAAAATAAAAAAATATTATTTATAATAATATTTAGGAGATAAAAATTTGATAAAAATAAAAAAATAATATTTAGGAGACAAAAATCTGATAAAACTAAAAAATAATATTTAAAATAATATTTAGGGGATACAAATATGATAAAATTCGAAAATAATATTTAAAATAATATTAAGGAGATAAAAGTTTGATAAAAATTGAAAAAAAAATTACAAATATGACATTAGGGTTTCTTAGGGTTGCCCTAGCGTTTCTTTCTTTTATATATAAGATTTGAAAAAAGGGAAAATTACGGTCACCCCCGAGGTAAGGTTAAATTACGAAAAACTCCCTCATGTTTGAGTAATTACAACCACCACGCTCAGCTACCTTATTGCACGTCCATTCTTATGGTGTCAAATTCAATAGAATCTTCTAGATTTCGTGGAATATTCTCTACTTTGTACTCGTTTTGTGCAAAAATGCAGTTTATGACGCACCACAATCTAACATTACAAACCAAGAGAAACATGAGCTCGAATGGGGTAAAAACGAGTATAAATTGGAGAATATTCCACATAGTTTAAAATATTCCACTAAATTTGACAGTGCGATGGTGGACATGTAAGAAAATGCATGCATAATTGAGGGTGGTGGTTGTAATTATCCAAACATGAGGGTTTTTTTTTCGTAATTTGGGGTAAAATGGGTATAAATTTCAGAATATTCCTCATAATTTAAAAGATTCCACTAAATTTGACACTGCAATGGTGGACATATATAAAGATGCATATTTGAGGGTGGTAGTTGCAATTACCCAAACATGATGGGGTTTTTTCGTAATTTGGGGTAAAAAGGTATAAATCTTAGAATATTCCACATAATTTAAAAGATTCCACTAAATTTAACACTGCAAGGGTGGACATGCAAGAAGATTTATAGTTGATGGTGGTGGTTGTAATTACCCAAACATGAGGGGCGATTTTGTAATTTGGGGTAAACGGGTATAAATTTGAGAATATTCCATATCGTTTAAAATATTCCACTAAATTTGACACTGTAAGGGTGAACATATAAAATGATTCAGTTAAGGTGTGATTGTAATTATCCAAACATGAGTGGGTTGTTTGCAATTTAACATTACTCAAGGGGTGACCGTAAATTTTACCTCTAAAAAGCAAATAAAAAAAACATTACCTATCGAAATAAACAAGAGGACCCCCGTGAAGAGAACAAAACAGGAATTTAAGACCAAAAAAAAAAAGATAATAATAAATAAATAAAAAAAAAAAAAAAAAAAAAAAAAAAAACAGGAATTTAAAAATGGTAAAACCAAAGAGAAGAAGAAGATGTAAGAAAAAAGGAAACCAAGGGAAGAAAAAAATGAAAATCTGAAACACCAACGCGTTTTTTCTCAAACAAAAAGGGAAAAATCCACACTGTCCCCTTCTCTCTCTTCTCTCTCTCTCCTCTTCTTTACTCTTTTGTGGAGAGACTGTGTGACTAGAAGTACAATCGAAAAGCAAAAAAAAAAAGCAACCCCAAATTAGGGTTACAGTTTAGGGTTTTATGCTCCACCAACACAGAGGACGAGGGAGACAACTACGGGTCCGGACTTTTCGGGCTCCGATAATGGGTCCTTCTTCTTCTTCTTCTTCTCTCCTCCAATGGCGGCACCACCACATTCACAAGCCGCCATTGAAGCTCTTGATTTTCCTCTGCGTTCTCCTCTCAGCTCCAATTGGACCCGTTTGGGGCTCCGATTCCGACAAATCCGCCCTATTGGCGTTCAAGGCTTTACTTTCGGACCCTCTCGGAGCGCTGAGCAGCTGGGATTCGAAGAGCCCGGATCACTGCTCGTGGGTCGGGGTTTCCTGCGGGTCGGGTTCTCGGGTCGTGGCTCTGAATATCACCGGTGGAGGTAATTCTCTGTCTTGTGCTCGAATTGCTCAATTCCCACTTTATGGGTTCGGAATTAGGCGAACTTGTTCTTTAGCCGGCGGTAGTAAAGTTAAAATCTTGGGTAGAATTTCTGCTGCTGTTTCTGAGCTCACTGAGCTCAAGATTCTGTCAATGCCGTTCAACGAATTGAGCGGCGGAATTCCTGCGGAGATTTGGGGGATGGAGAAGCTCGAGGTTCTTGATCTCGAAGGGAACTCGATTTCCGGCTCTTTGCCTTACAGTTTCACCGGTTTGAGGAGTTTAAAGGTTCTTAATTTGGGATTCAATGAGTTGTTTGGTGCAATACCGAGTTCGTTATCGAACTGTGTAGGCCTACGAATCTTGAATTTAGCTGGCAATCGATTTAACGGATCAATTCCAGGGTTTGTCGGTGGGTTTCAAGATTTGAATGGGCTTTACTTGTCTTTCAATCTACTCAGTGGATCGATTCCGGTTTCTATTGGCAATAACTGCGAAAAACTCGAGCATTTAGAGATATCGGGGAATTATTTGACCGAGGCTATTCCGAGGAGCATAGGCAACTGTAGAGCGTTGAAGACACTTCTGCTGTATTCCAATATGCTGGAGGAGGTTATTCCAAGCGAGCTCGGTCGGCTGAGTCAGCTCGAAGTTCTGGATGTTTCTAGAAACAACTTCGGCGGCGTCATACCGTCTGCGATTGGCAACTGCACGAAACTGTCTGTCCTTGTGTTGTCCAACTTGTGGGACCCTCTTCCGAATGCTTCGAGTTTAGGAGAGAAATTGGCATTCACTGCTGATGAGTACAACTTCTACGAAGGCACGATTCCGAATGAGATCAGCACACTATCGAGCTTGAGGATGGTGTGGGCCCCTCGAGCAACTCTCGAGGGAAAATTTCCCGATAGTTGGGGTACTTGCGGCAATTTGGAGATGTTGAATTTGGCTCAGAATTACTACTCAGGGGAAATATCCGTCGGGTTTAGCAACAAATGCAAGAAGCTGCGTTTTCTTGATTTGAGCTCGAACAGGCTTAGCGGTGCGATCAGTGACGAAATTCCAGTGCCTTGTATGAATCTGTTCGATATCAGTGACAATTTTTTGTCGGGCCCGATTCCCAAATTTAGCTACGGATCTTGTGTGCCCATCGAATCGAGGAACCCTTATGATGCTCCTTCTGCATATATATCGTACTTCCGATATCGAACTCAGATCGAATCATCTTTGCCATTGTCTGAAAACGGTGGTGATGATGATGGTAATTTTCTGGTGCTACACAATTTCGGTTCCAACAACTTGACGGGCCCACTTCAGGCAATGCCTATCGCATCGGAAATATTAGGAAAGCAAACCGTTTACGCATTCCTCGCAGGCAGAAACAAGCTGACCGGAAATTTCCCTCCATCTTTCGCCGAGAAATGCGATCAAGCAAAGGGCGTCGTAGTAAATGTCAGCAACAATTTGTTGACCGGTCAAGTTCCGATCGATTTCGCCACATCGTGCAAGTCACTGATGCTTCTAGATGCTTCCGTGAATCAAATTTCCGGAACCCTACCCCCGAGCATCGGCAACTTAGTTTCGCTTCGTGTGCTTAACTTAAGCTGGAACCCTCTGCAAGGTCCGATTCCGAACAGCCTTGGCCTGATTAAGGATATCGAATGTCTCTCTTTGGCTGGTAATAACCTCAACGGTTCGATCCCCGAAAGTTTCGGACAGCTGTACAATCTTGAAGTTCTCGATTTGTCTTCGAATTCTCTATCGGGTGAAATTCCGAAAGGCCTCGCGAGTTTGAGGAAGCTGTCGGTTCTTTTGCTGAACAATAATAAATTATCAGGTCAGCTTCCGTCTGAGCTGGCAACAAACGCCTCCACTCTCTCGACTTTCAACGTCTCGTTCAACAATCTCTCTGGAAATTTGCCTCCGAACAACGATATGCTCAAATGCAGTAGCTTTCTCGGAAACCCGTTTCTCCAATGCCCTATTTTGTCCTTATCTTCGAACCCCGTCGATCAAAACGGAAGAATCGGCAACCAAGATTCTTCCTCTTCTTCTTCCTCAACGGATAGAAGAAGGGAAGAAAAATTAAACTCGATTGAGATTGCTTCGATAACTTCGGCAGCAGCCATTGTATTCGTTCTTCTTGCCTTAATCTTCCTCTTCTTCTACACGAGAAAATGGAAACCGAGGTCTAGAGTGACAAACGGAGCTTCTTCTAGAAGGGAAGTGATCACCTTCACCGACATAGGGGTCCCGCTAACCTTCGACACAGTCGTACGCGCAACTTCGAATTTCAACGCTAGCAACTGCATCGGGAACGGTGGCTTCGGCGCGACATTCAAAGCCGAAATATCGCCAGGTGTCCTAGTCGCGATAAAACGCCTCGCGGTAGGACGGTTCCAAGGCGTACAACAATTCGACGCGGAGATCCGAACGCTCGGCCGCCTCCGCCACCCGAACCTCGTAACTCTAATCGGGTACCACGCGAGCGAAACAGAAATGTTCTTGATATACAACTATTTGCCTAGCGGCAATCTCGAGAAATTCATACACGAGAGATCGAACAGAGCAGTCGATTGGAGGGTTTTGCATAGAATCGCGTTGGATATAGCCCGTGCACTCGCGTACCTACACGAGCAATGTGTGCCACGTGTACTTCACCGAGATGTAAAGCCGAGTAACATTTTATTGGACGAGGAATATAATGCGTACTTATCCGATTTCGGTCTGGCGAGATTGCTCGGTACTTCGGAGACCCACGCGACGACAGGTGTCGCCGGTACTTTCGGGTATGTGGCGCCCGAATATGCAATGACGTGTAGGGTTTCAGATAAGGCGGATGTTTATAGCTATGGGGTGGTTTTGCTGGAGTTGATTTCGGATAAGAAGGCGTTGGATCCTTCTTTTAGTTCGTATGGGAATGGGTTTAATATTGTGGCGTGGGGGTGTATGCTTTTGCGGGCGGGCCGGGCGAAGGAGTTTTTCACGGCCGGGCTTTGGGAGGCGGGCCCGCATGACGACTTGGTGGAGGTGTTGCATTTGGCGGTGGTGTGTACGGTTGAGTCGTTGTCGCATAGGCCGACGATGAAGCAGGTTGTGAGGAGGTTGAAGCAGTTGCAGCCTCCTTCTTGTTAGGACTTAGGTGGAAATATTTGATTTGTTTTTATGAGATTGTAGCTCTCTACTTGTAAATTGTAGTCATAGTTTTAGTTCATTTTTATGTTGTGGATTTAATGATAGTGGTTTTTTTTTAAATTATTATTATTATTTTTTATTTTTATTTTTAGCTGCAGAAGAATGCAGATGTTTGTTATGTTACAATTTGATAGTTGTGTTTCTGATTACCAATTTGTTGTTGAAATAATAACAAAAGGACCTGGGCTTCTTTTTTCTTGCAACAACTTTATTTAGGATAGGGGGTCAAAATCGGACGGATCAAATCGGAAATGTCAGTTGCTGAGAAAAAAATGATTTTTTCGAAAAAGAAGGTTCGAAAAACGGAAATTGGATAGAAAATCAGAATCTATTACTTATTTCAATTCCAATGCAATCTCTCTACGAAAAAGTTCAGCACTCTCATTATCGAAATCAATATTTTTGGAATTTGGAATGAAAAAAATATTCCAAAATTGGAAAATTTTGGGTCGGAAAAAGCGAAAATCGAAAATTTTGTTCCCGTTTCCACACCTAATTTAAGGATTAATGAATATTTATACTTAAGATTGTTTATTTTTGATGTTGGATTGAAGGGCGACATAATTTATGTATTTACTTGGGTCGTGAGAATCGAGTCTTTTCGACCACAATCTCTTATTTATCAGCCATTTTTCTCTACTCGTTGCAATGAAATCTTTGACTCGATATCTCCACTTTTTGTTAAAATTATTTTTTCTTATTAATAGCATTCACCAACATAAAATTCACAATCTATGATCAGGAGCTTTTGCAAACACCACCTAACTTCAACGGGGTTTTTGGCACGTGCCACGCGCCTAAGCCGATCCGTATCATTTCAACGGCACACAAATAAAAACATAATTCCTGAATATATATAATATATCAAAGACCACAGTACCTATAAAAGATCCCTGTAAACTTGCTAGTTTACCTTCAACTACATTTATAAAACATTAAAAAGAAAAAAAAAAGAGAGTACTAATTAGAAACTAAAAAGCTAAAAAGTCTTTAATTTAAATTTTAATACTCCCACCCTCCAACTAAGATTACCTTAACGACGACAATTAAACGGGGGGATTAAAAGAGGGGGAAAGGGTTAACAACTATATGCTTCAACGGCTGCGCCACGTCACCACCACCGCCATGCTTGACAAACTCGGCAGGAGAGAGAAACAAACCATGGCAAACGCAGACAATCTTAACTTCCTCGCCTTTCTTGTACCTATACAAGAATCCCTCTATCTTGTTGAAGTGGGGGGCAAAACCCCTTGTCGAAACGTACGGCATATCGAGCAATGCGTTCTTCACTAGCTCATCGTTTCCGCCGCCACGAGCAGCGGCCGGCACCGCACCCTGCTCCGGTGGATTATTTTGCCTTCCTCCGCCACGAGCGGCGGGCCACGCACCCTGCTCCGCTGGATTATTTTGCCTTCCTCCGCCTGATAAAAAGAATATATATATATTGTTAGTGAAAAATATTATCGAAGAATATAGTTCGTGTATTTTATGTAGTATCCACACGCAACTTTCAAGACACACGGGATTTTTTTTTTTGTGTCACGAATATTGATGACAAAATAATTGTCATGGAAAAAGAATACACCAAAATAAACGGCACCGAATATAGCATATCCCAATGTTAGTAATAAAATTACGTGTACATTAACTTATTATACATCATCGTATATATATCTTGAGTATAATACTAGATCTACGGAGTGGAAACGATTTACTCAACGCATATTTGCCGACTGGTTAAAACTTAAATATCCGGAAACAATGGAAATAGGAAACTATACATCCAATGTGAATATGTTATCAATTTAAACGAACCGCAGCAAAAAAAAAAAGTGTCGACAGAAAACGACAAACAGCGCCGCCAAGATTGACGACCTATTTCAAATGCTCTGTCACAAGCAAGATAGATTCTCTAATACGACAGCGAAAACAGATTCTTCTTCTTATTTGTCAACGCACACACATTAATACGACAGACAATGCCGCCAAGATTGACGACCTATTTAAATACTATGTCACAAGCAAGATAGATTCTCTAATACAATAACGAAAACAGATTCTTCTTCTTCTTCTTAATGTCAACGCACACGCACTAATATGACAGCCAACATTATATTTAAAAAGTTCCGTCGCTAAAACGACAATTGACACGTGTCTAAATAGATGACTGTTAACTATCTTAGCAAACTCGAGATAGATTCGCTAAAACGACAGCAAAAAAACAGATTCTTAGTGGTCAAATGCGCACGCTAAAACGACAAAGAATGCCGCCAAGACAATTAACTACTCACCGACAAACTTAAACGAACATAACGAACACACAAAACATTATCAAATGCAGCCAATCAAAATGCCGATAGGAAAAAACAAACACGAGAATAATCTTCGCAATCCCAGATAAATGATCCAACTACTAGGGTTAGCAGTTTCTATAATGCAGAGTATAATGCAAACATAGACATGCAGATTCATATGTTATATAAACACACACACACACACACACACACATATATATACCGATCATGAGTTGAGTCTGGAAATTGGGAACACCAGATGAAGAACCACCAGCAGAGCCGCCGCTTGATCCGATTGAACCCTGTGACGATGACTGCACAAAATTCAAATTCTCACGAAAACAATTATTATTATTAACAGCAGCATCTTCTTCGGAGGAGGAGTTGTTGTTGCTCTCATACTGCTGCACCTCTTTCCCCACTCTCACATTCTTCAGCTTCTCCATTCTCTTCTTCCTCGCCTCCATGCACCTCGCCGACTGTATCTCCCTGCTCCGCCTCCACTCCTCCGTCTCCGCCGGCAGCGAGCACGTCCTCCCCAGCGGCGCGTGTCCCTCACGCGCCTCCCCACGCGCCTGGACGCTGCCGCCGCCGCCGCCTGCGGCGGCGCCGACGAGAAACAGGTTCGACACGGAGGAGGAGCGGCGGAGCTTTTTGCTCGACGGGTCGACACCGAATCTGCCGTTCATCGACAGGCCCAAACTCAATTCGACTTCGCCGCCGTCGTCGTCGTCGTTATCGTCGGCGGCGGCGGCTTCATTCCGTTGGTTCGAGAAATGGTTTCGTTTCATCAGATCTCTCGAAACCCCATCCACGCGCTGAGTTTCTTCCGCCATTACTCCAACCTGTAAGAACACTCTACCAAATTCGACCGCACTCGGGGTTTTAAAAAATAAAAAATAAAAAAAAATTTAAATCAACTCAATTTTAAATCTGCAAAAATCAAAAAACGTCCACATTCAATGCTGTAAATCTCTCTGAAGAAAATCGAAACGAAAACTATTAATCAATTATTGCATCCGAAATAGAAAAAAACGGCCGGAAATAGAAACCGAGAGAGAGAGAGAGAGAGAGAGAGAGAGAGAGAGAGAGATGCAAAACTGGAGTAGAAAATAGTTGGAAAAAAGGGTGATGAATTTGGATTCATGGGAGAGAGAGAGAGAGAGAGAGAGAGGAGAGAGATGGAAATTGGAAGAAGGGGGGGGGGTCTCATAGAAATTGTAACGTAAAAGGGTTGGAGAGAAAGATACACGTGGCAGAAGGAGGTGCGTTTGGGATCGACCACGTGGTTGAGGCATGCAGGTTTCGAGAATGTCTTGCATACATGCGTCCCCACCTGCTTTCTCCTATTTCTTCTTTTTTTAATTACTATAATTAATGTACTTTTTTAGTGTGGGATTATAAGCAAAGTAAGATTAATTAGGGGGCTCTTTGAGAAACCCCCTCATTATTTTTTTTAATTGAGGGAGGCCCAAAATATTTTAGTCCATTTGAGAAAAGTCCACACCCATTTTCAGCCATTATGCTTTCCAGCTTTGCCCCCACCCGCCACATCATCACTGGGTCACGCTCAGCAATTTTTTTTTTTCCGTTTTTTTCTTAATCGACTATGAAGCATAGTCGATTAAGCCTTAATCGACTATGCTTCATAGTCGATTAAGGAAATTATTTAATTATTTAATCTTTTTTTTTTTTTTAATTTTTGTTTTATAAACTATATATAACAAAAACAAAAAAATATACAAATATTATAAATGATTTATACAATTGAAAGCAATAAACAAAAAATCCAAAAAAAATAAAAAAAAATTGAGTAGGTGACCTTAATCGACTACCAGAGCATAGTCGATTAGCTTAATCGACTATGAACATCTACATAGTCGATTAAGGTAACAGCCTGCGCGAAATTCTCTACACGCGCCTTCATCCGTTCAATCCACAAAAAAACCAAAAAACAGCCTCCCCATCGTCACCACACCACCCAGAGCTTCTGCCATGGCCGAACCCATCGGATTTTGAGCATGTTCAGCACCACCAATTAAGAAAACTAATTTAAATTAATTTAATTTAATCCCAAAAGT